CAGACTAAAGTAACTGTTAAACTGTTTGAAAAGCTCAGCTATACAACAAGGAGAGATCGAGAATTTCCTTTTAGTTCTCAGTTTATTTGATGTTGACAAAAGTTAGTCAACTTTGTTCTTCTGTAAAACAAACTAAGATTTATTTTTAGAATTAATATTTTGTTTCTAAGTGGAATTGACAATTTAGTCTGTTTTCTTTGTTCTATTTGGAAACTTAAACGCTTTAGCGGCTGCCTTTTGTGTCGTTTGCAATATTTGCCTTTATTTATCTGAAAAAGTCTCATGTTCCTTAAGTACATCTACCCTGTTGAACTTATTATGAAATAAATATTTAAATCAAAACAAGCTGCTGATTATTTCACATTTTACTTGTGAGCAACGGCACATTTAAATCTTACAAATATCGTTATTTGGCTTATATCGTGATATATATCGTTATCGCCTGATATGAAAAAAACATATCGTGATATGAAAAAAATCGTATATCGCCCAGCTCTAGATGAGTGTATTATTTTTTATTTCTATTCAAACTGCAAATGCAGTAAAAGCATAAATGAACACTGTCAGTCATGGACCGGCCTGTGGACCTCAACATAACTGATGCAGTGTGGAACCATCTTGACAGAGAGTGAAACAAAAGTTACCTTTAAACACTAATATTAATGTGTTTGCACATCTTTAAATGTTTCCTGTTTTTCTACAAATACACGAAGAACTGAGTGACGGCTCAAACCTTCACAGCACTGCAGGCTGTTTAACATCTCACATCTGTCACCGCTGAGTGCTTTAGATTCATTCACTATTTCACATCTATCTTTTCTTAAACATTTATTTTTTCCTATTTTCTATTCACTATATTGTTTCTTTTTTTATGATTTATTTTTCTCTGTTCATTTTAATCATCGTGGCAAACCTTTATGCAGCATCACAGTCGTCACAGGATGCTAACATGGTTCATTTCTTCCCCGTTTTAACCCTGATGCTGACAGATGTAACTGTAGGCCACTGTAACAGATGTAACTGTAGGCCACGCCCAGCTGGGCAGCCCTCTAAAAGAAGCTCTCCTTCCACTGGGGTTCAAACCTTTAGGCACTCATTCATCAACACCTGCTCATTATGGTTTTTCAGTATGGATATATTTACCCTATTCAGTGACCACTTATAGTCATCTCAGATGATGATTACTTCAACCTTAATTAAAGTAAATCCCTCATCTCATCCCCTCAAAGAGCTGGTCCGAGATCAGCCAGCTGGTCTCAGATCTTTTGCATGTAGAGCTGCCGCAGCACGTACTCGGTGCTCGAACCAAGAATCAGAGAGCTGCTGGAATTCTCATGTTTTCCTGATACTTAGTAACTAAAGTAACAATTTACTTATTATTATGTAATAATTATTATGCTTAATTACACCAAAAATCATTGCACTTTGACTTGCAGGTATAAC